GTACTGGTGTTTTCGTGTCTTGGTGTACTTGTGTCGTGGTGTAATGGTGTTGGGATAGTACTGATGTCGTGGAGTACTGGTGTCGTTGAAAACTTGTGTCGGGGAGTACTGGTGTCATGGTGTACTGATGTCGTGGAGTACTGGTGTCGTGTTGTACTGTTGTTGGGGTAGTAGTGTTGTCGGGGGAGTACTGATGTCGGGGGTGTACTGGTGTCGTGGTGCACTGGTGTCGGGATAGTACTTGTGTCGGGGGAGTACTGGTGTCGGGGGATTTCTTGTGTTTTGATGTCGGGGAGTACTATTGTCGTGGTGTACTGGTGTCGGGAAGTACTGGTGTCGGGGGTGTACTGGTGTCGTTGTGTACTGGTGTCGTGTTGTACTGTTGTTGGTGTAGTAATGTTGTCGGGGAGTACTGGTGTCGAGGAGTACTGGTGTCGTGGTGCACTGTTGTTGGGGTAGTAATGTTGTCGGGGAGTACTGGTGTCGGGGGAGTACTTGTGTCGTGGTGTACTGGTGTCAGGGGTAGTACTGATGTCGTGGTGTACTGGTGTCGGGATAGTACTGGTGTCGTGGTGTACTGGTGTCGGGATAGTACTGGTGTCGGGGGAGTTCTTGTGTTTTGGTGCCGGGGAGTACTGGTGTCGGGGATGTACTGGTGTCGTGTTGTACTGTTATTGGGGTAATAATGTTGTCGGGGGATTACTGGTTTCGGGGGAGTACTTGTGTCGTGGTGTAATGGTTTCAGGGGTAGTACTGATTTCGTGGTGTACTGTTGTACTGGTGTTCTTGGTGTCAGGGATTACTGGTGTCTGGGGAGTACTGGTGTGGGGGAGACCTGGTGTCGGTGGAGTAATGGTGTCGTGGATGTTGATGTGTCGGGTGAGTACTCGTGTAAGGGGTTGTTCTGGTGTCGGTGAAGTAAAGGTGTCGTGGATGTTGATGTGTCGGGTAATACTCGTGTAAGGGGTTGTTCTGGTGTCGGGGGTGTACTGGTGTCTTGGTGTAATTGTGTCAAGGGTAGTGGTGTCGAGGTGTACTGTTGTATCGTGGTGTACTTGGTGTCGGGGATTACTGGTGTCGGGGTAGTACTGGTG